ACTCACCTCACAGGGTTGTTGTTGTGGGGAAAAATAGGAGGAGGAAAGAGTATTACGTATGTTTGCCATTGAGTTATTTATAAAAATAATAAAGGTGGGATTAAAAAAATTTTTTAAAATCTAAATCTAAAAATAGAGTAAGTAGCAATAGGAAAAAATCAGTATTGTCTTCCATGCATGACGACTTAGATGTGAAGCTGCAGTGTTTGCTTGTTTCACCCTATGTCTTCTCTAATGTGGGACAATATTTTGTGATGCCAAGGCTTTATGAACTGAAGGATACCTGCCTGGGTGAGACAAAACATGCATTGCGTCCTCTGTTAGAAATGCAGTTATCAGTAGTGTTGCAAAGTTGAGATAAATTATTTGTTTTGTTTTGCCATGGAAAGAACTTGATTCCAGGATTCAAGCAAACTCTGCAGTTTGTGCTCAGTTGTGATAGCGGTAGTATTTTGTAATTTACTTCACTGACAAGTTGCCTCATAGAATTCTTATGAAACATCAACGATTGTCTTGCCAGCAAGACTGGCTGAATTCACCCACTGCATGCTTGTATGTATATGGTTTAAGGTAGATGGAGAAACAGCCTGTGCCCTGCTGTCTTTTCCCTCAAAACTGAAAATATCCAGGGTAGGCATGAGGGTGAGCGAACTTGTATTACAAGGGATATTTACCTCCTCCTTTTTCATTTTGTGTCTCTGCTGCTGTCCAGCAAAGGCATTTTAGGCAGTTCAAGAGATGAACTATTATTATAATAATAATAATAGTTATATTTAATATAATAGTTACAACTATTATTCAAGAAGTCTGTGTGGCAAAATGTTTGGTTTAAGAACTGACAAGTGCTGCAATAAGCTTTGACAATAAAGCTTTTTTAAAATATAAATTTCATCCCCCCCCCGCCTAGCATCCTACTTCTCAGAGAAAGATCACCTCCCCTGTGATCTTTAGATGAAATCTTAACACATTACCGGGATGCCGTAGGACAGCCGCATGTGCGTTCGCAATGCTGTCATGCCACCGGGCACCACTGCCAAGCAACAGTGTTCTCCATATTTGCGTGACACGTAGCAGCTCAGGATTATTGGGCAGCAAATTCCAACGCAGCCTGCCAAGCAATGTAAACATGCACATGCAAGCAAAGATCAATAGAAGTAGGTAGAAAATGCTGTCCTGAACAGTCCAGACGTATAACCCTTGTCCCTAAGTCCTCACTTAGCCAAATCCTTCCTGGGCAAGAGAGTGACTGGGTAGATGTGTTCCCATGACATGAGTGACTGAGTCAGCTGCTCCCGTCAGCTGAAAAACAGACGTTTTCTAGGTGTTCCCAGATTTAAGGAATGGAGGCTGTCACATCCTCTTCTTTTTTGCTCCCTCAGACAAAAAGAAAGCCCAATACAATAAAAACTGTAGTGGATTAGATGATGGTAAAATGGGGAGGGGGGGGGCTTTTTGGACCCTTTTCATATACCTCTATGTGGCTCTGGAGGGTAAAAGCCCTGTGTTTGCAGGGCTGTTTTAGGATGTCTTGGACTCCAAAGTACCTGGTAACAAGAGTTTGTTATCCTGTTTGGTTAACATTGACTGTGCAGAATTAATTTAGCCCTGAGCTACATTTCAAGCTAAAATTAATCCTCTGTGGGTTTAGTTGATTGGGTTAAGCACTGACCCCATAATCAGTTAAGTGCATGCTGAGGATGGAATCTGTCTATGCATTCACACTTCTTCATAAATTAATCCATGTCCCATTTCCTTCAAATTTGGGGCAGAACATCTTTTTTTAAAAAAGGTATTTCTGGAAACTAAATGAAGGGATTAGTGTGAGCACTGAGCAAAGAAACGACCAACCTCCAAGGGTCAGTTTGCTGTAGAGATGAAAGTACTAGACTCAGACCAGGAAAATTCACGTTCAAGTCCCACTGAACCACAGAATCTCAATGGTGATTTTGGGCCAGCTGTTCTTGCTCAGTCCTACCTATCCCACCGAGCTGTTGTAGTGGAAAAATGGAGACGTCTACTCTATATGTCACCATGAACTCCTAGAAGGTGAGCTATACATCCAGCGAATCATTCATTCATGCTTTTTGCTTTGGATCCAAAGACCCAGACACTACCTCTGCATGTGTGATGGCATGCTCCTCCCCAGACACTTCCCCCACTACAAGATTACAGCAAGATACTTTTAAAATCAAGGTGGTAATTCAAACCAGTTGTCTGAGGACATTCAGCTGTCCAAAGGAAGAAACAGAGTGGAGATGAGCTGGCGTCTTGACATTTAAAACTAAAATATTGTTCAAAGTTTGCTACCACTTGAAGAATTCACCCAACTTCTGACAAAGTCCTGACCTCAAAACCCAGATTTCTACACAATTCCTTATATTTCCAAGAAACCTTAAAGAGAATCCTCCTATATTTACAGCTCCTTGACATAAGTAAGACTTAAACAGCATGACCTCAGTCAGCCTTAACAGCCAGAAACCCTCTCTCTTCTCCACTGATGTCCTCCAAGTAGGAAAGTTCCACTTCCTTAGCCACCATGGCCATACTGGCTGGAAAGGATGGGGTTTAGTATCAACCTGTGTTGAAAGCATCAGGTTGGTAAGTCCACTTAAATGTCACAAGCTGGAACTGACCTGGAAATCCAGTCTTATTTTAGGAAGAACAAGGTCAAAAAGGGTCTCGTTCCTCCCTTCTCAGCTGGCTACTCCCCACAGGTATTGGAACCAGAGGTCTACTTACACATGGGACAGTCCAAACAGCAATCATACCTCCCAGTGGTCCAGCTGCCTTCTGAGGACTGGGTTACTGGGGAGATAGTTGGCTGGCAAATCACTGGCTGGGACATTGGCAGCTCAGAACTGCTTCTGAAGAGCCACCAAGTGTCTGTAGCAACTGGGCAAGCAGGGATGTAAAAGCTCCTTTGTACACTTTTTTGTGGTATCCTGCAGGCTGGGTGAGATGCCACAGGAAGCAGCAAGAAGTGGGGTGGAGTAACGCAAGGCCTTGTGAAACAAGCAGCTTTCTAAACATCACACCAAACTGAAAAACTGTCCTAAGTGGCTTTTGCCTGGTATGTAGAGTCAGAATAGTAGATCATCAGCAGTGCTTCAGCTTGCAGGAAAATGAAGGTCAGATTTTAAGGTGGAGGGTAGCTCCTGCCATTCCAGATTGTGAATCAGAATTCTGGTGAGGACTGCAAAGAACTCTTGGAGGCTGCTTGTGGTCCTGGAGTCCTAGGCTGCCCTTCCCTGATAGCTCAATTGACAAAACATACCATGCAGCAGAGCACAAGTGTCTTCCCCCACATTGCAGGTCATGTCATACTCTACTAGCCTCTGGGAAAACTGATGCAGGGGGAAAACTGCATTCCCAGACCTCTTTCTACATCCCAGGAACCTTCCACCTTATTCCCCTCCCACAACCTGGTCCCATTCAGATGTGTTCAGAATAGCCACAACACATCTTTGTGGCACAAAGCTGGGGAAGACAGAAGTCCTAACAGGGTATACAGTAGGACTCGAGCATTTCCGGGTATTTTTCTTTTTCTCTTAATTACACGTTACTGTTTATTGAAAACAGGAAGCAGGTTTTGTGAAATAAAACCTGAGATATATACTAGATGCTTTGCAATAAAAAGAGCCTTAGTTCTGCTCCTATTTCTTAGGCTGCATTCATCCAAAGGCACACAGTCTTTCAGGATTTTTATTTGGACTACTCAGGAAAAACAATCTATAAGCTTGACAGTCAGGAATAAACTCCCAAGTTCTGCCAAAACAATTAAGTCAGGGTCTCTACTTCAGTTTCTAAAAAAGAAACCGAGGCACTCTGAGAAGGAAAAGAAAGAAATAAGCCCCATTTTGCATTGGTCACAAGGCAAAGGGTTCATGTGCCGCTGGACTTTCTCCTGCTGGTGGTTACATGGCTGGTCCCTGCAGGAACAGGACAGTGAATAATGCTTTGGGTTAGATCCAACGTGATGAATCTCCCTCCTGCGACTCTGAGAATGCTAGAACAATAACTCATCTAACATCCCTACTACAGCCTCAAACATGTACATGAAGTAAAAAAAAGAGGATGCGGGCATATTTGCACATACACACATACAAAGGGCAAGTTGGTGTTCAATGATTTATTGTCTTTAGGATTTGTTCCTCAATTTGAGCTGCTCCTCCCATCAACAGAAGTTATGTTCTGCTCAGACTGGGGTCCTCCTTTGGCTGAGCCTGCTCCTTTGCTCCTTCATGTTGCTTTTCTATCTGCTTCAATCTTTCCAAAGCTCTTAGCTTCTGCTTCTCCTTGTAGACCTGAATATTAATGGGAATGGGAGATTTAATTGGCTATTTAGCAGCCCAAATGTCCTGTCATTATGGGGAAATAAGCAGCTTCTGCCTCCACTGCCACCACAGGTGGAATGTCGCCATTCCTCTGGCTGCAACTGCCATGATGAGATGGTATAGACTAAGTCATAACACAGTTTGCCCAATTTTATCCCAGTGTGAAGCATAAATCCAGATGATAATGGTTAGAGCAGTAAGCCATGGCTCAGTGAGGTCTGTGAACCTAGTCATGCTATTTTCTGCTAAACCCCAAGCAGTACAAGCCCCCTACCCACAAGCTGTCCACTGCTGCTGAAGATGTGTTTCTCCACTTAGCCCCACTGGCTATGCCCCAGTGGTTATGCTTTCCTCCTCTTACATGCTACCAGCTTACCCATCTACTCTGGCATTGGGGACAGAAATGCTGTTCGCTTACTGGACAGGATACTTGTGAAATGTGGGCTTCCAAGCCTGTTTCCCTGTCGGAAACCTTTGCAGAAGAGCAGAACATGCATATCCCAAGCAAAGTTCTCTGATCCAGAAGCTGCAGTTGCCCAGTCCCAAGCTGCTCCCTTAGGCCATACTTGGCCAGCCATCCTTAACCTACCCTGGCATGAAGTTCCTTCTTGACAGCCATGCGCCGTGTGACTTTCCGCCGGTATTGTGGAGGAGGCGAATATTCAATTTCCAGCTGCTTGCACGTGTTCTCAAAGATATCATAGTGGTAATTACGTAGATATTTCAGCAACACGTTCCGCCGGTCAATGGCTATCCTCATATGGCAAAGGTTAACCTTGTCCTAGAAAGTTGTAGTCTCTTCAGTGAACTACCCATGGATCCAAGTCTTTTAATTGTTTAACTTTCTGGTTATTAATTTACTGACAAAATTGAAATAAACTTGCAAGTTTATGAAAAACTATGAAAGTCAGCAACAACAAGCAGTTGCTAGTGTGCTAGAAGGAAAGGATTTTATTGTGTTGGGAAATATGGAATATTATTTATTACACAATGATATCTGAGAAACAAAACAGTATCAAAAATATATTTTTGTGCTTCTCAGAAATGGATCTACTGCACGTATCGTCTAGATGATGGTATGCAGGCAACAGGATACAGGGAGTCCCCAGTTTAAGAACGAGTTTCGTTCCCAAGGTCTGTCCTTAAGTCGAATTAGTATGTAAGCCAGAACAGTATTATTGTATAATACTGTATAATTAGTACTGTGTAATGAACTTGAACCATTGTGTATTTAACTCAAATTTTGCTACAACAGGCTCTGTTCTTAACTATGGGTTGTCCGTAAACTGGGCGTTCTTAACGCGGGGGCTACCTGTACTGGCTAATCTGAAGCCTCTAGATTAGAAATCCTACCTTGAATAGTGTGAGCGTGCTAGGGAGTAAAACTGGCCTTTGGTTGTGCTTGTGGCATCCTGGACATAATATGCCAGAACTGACCGGCAGTTAGCAGGGAATGCTATACATGGCACAGGAACAACTAAGGCTGGTAACCTGAACTCCATCTTTTCTTATCTTATTGTAAAGCATATGTACACATGGAAAATAAATAAGTTTAAAAGCATGACTGGCTGGATTGTTTGTGAAGAAAGACTGAGAGAATTAAGTGAGTGATATACAAGAGTGATCAAAAGTTCTGAATGTGACAACAATTAGTTTTTGGTAGTGTCAAGAGTGAATTTTGGAGAAAAATTGATATGGAAGAAAAAAACAAAAGAAATCAGAGTGAAAGAAGAACTGCAGGGAAGAAAAGTCTGAATCCTGTATAAAATAATATTAGAAACAGATTACTCTCAAAACAGAATGAATGGAAAGAGGATACAGAAGCTGCTTGAAACCGAGTGAACAGAATAATCTTACAGAATTCCATACAAGTGGTGTAGTTACATTAACAAAATCTATGAAAAAGGACACTTAGTGAAATGATGAAATGAAAATAGGCTATAGATGAGAGAGAATGCCAGTTATAAAAAATGAGGATGAGTGAAAGAGACTGCATAATGTGAATAGAGAGAAAAAGATAGCTGCTAAAAATGTGGTCTATGAGTGTAAAGAGTGACTGACGAGAAGAAGCAATGAAAATGCAGAGCGATTTTGATGGGAATTTCTTTTAAACTTTTAAATTTCTTTTAAACCTTAAATGTTTTTTTTAAAACGTTTTTAAACAAGGGAGCTCCAGTAGAGTGAATAGAATTAAAAATAAAAGTGATAATTGATTTGGGATGAGATTGAAGTGAGGAAATGGTGGAGGAATATTTTCAAGGTCTGTATGGTGATAGTGATACACTGAAGAATGGAATAGGAAAAAAAAATAGCGTCCAAGGGAAAAAATAGATGAATGTTGATGTCATAAATTATGTGAGAATTCTGAAAAATAGTAAGGCTGTAACCATGTAAATAGTGTAACTGCAGAAACATTTAAATACTGTATGGGTGTGGTTTGCTTATGGAGTAGCTGTGTGACAAATTTGACTGGGTGAAGACTATGCCTGAGGACTGGAAGAATGCTATTGTCCCCCTATACAAATGGAAATGTAGCAAGACTGAATGCAATTAATACAAGGAAATTTGTTCATTTAGTATGCCTGAAAAAGTACTTAGCACAATTCTGACTAAAAGGGTACAAGAGATAATGAGAAACATGAGGTGGTTATGCCAGGCAGGGTATATGCAGACATTTAGAGAAATGTACGCATGTGAGAAAGTTTATTGCATGCTTGTTGATTCAGAGAAGGCATAGGATAAAGTGAACAGGCTTGAATTATGGAAAATGTTATATGAATACCGAGTGGAAGGTAGGTTGCTGAATGTGATAAGAGCAATATGTGATGGAAGTAAAGCTTGCCTGAGGAAAAAAATGGAAGGCTTATTCAGTGGTTCAACATTGAATAGAGAGTCAGGCAAGGATGGGGGATATTCCCTTGACTGTTTGATGCATTTATGGGTAAATGTGTAAGGAATTATGGTGCCATTAGAGGTGCACTGTGTGGGAATGTGAACATACATGAACTTTTGCATGCAGATGATACTGTATTTTTGGCTGCGAATTGAAAAATTTGCAGGAAATGTTAGACTGTAGGATCTAATAATTAAGGTATCAAAAACCTAGTTGTATCTGACAAGGGAAACTGGGTGAATGACTGCAAGTTGTATTTAAATGGCAAAAAACTAGAGCAATTTGTGTACCTAAGGATGGAAAAAATTTAAGAAGTACCAGTGGAGAGGTAATGGGTAGCATGTGACTTTTTTAAGGAAAGAATGCTGAAAGCAGCAAAGTGACGGTTTGCAAGTATTTTTCTGCCTGTTTTGTTATCAGGAAATGAGAGCTAGGCGAGTCAGGAGAAACATAAGCTGAATGCAGTTGAAATGGGATACTAAGAAGTATATATAACAGTACAGTATCAAGAACAAAAGGATGATGAACGAATGTGGACTGAATGCAAAAGTGAGTGACCAGTAGAAAAGCTGCATGCTTGGGTGGCTTGATCATATACAATAGACAGAATGAAGGAAGACTGGATTGCAAAAAGGGAGCAGGCCATTCCTGGGAACTCAGGACCGATGTCTCATACCGGTTCCACGTTCCAGCTCCTTCATCTCAGCCTCGGTACCCTGTCCGCAGATGTTCAGCAGCCCTGGCTTCAGGCTGCTGCTACTGAACACCAGGTCGGTTGCAGTAAGGCTTCCCTCACTCATGATTTAATCATTGAGGAGAGGGCTGACCTGGCACGCATTACCGAAACCTGGCTGGGTCCAGAAGGGAGGGGGGCAGCCCTCTCTGAGCTATGCCCAGTGGGGTTTCGTCAGCCGAGACTCCGGCAGGGGTGGAGGTGTGGCGACTGTCATCCGGGAATCCCCTACAGCTTTCAGGAGCGCTGCCCCACAGGTCCCCAGATGTGAGACTCTATCCCTTAGGCTGGGCTCTGGGGATCAGTTGGGATTGTTGTTGTTGGAGCAGCCTCCCTGCTGCAAAGGAACCTCCCTGCCTGAGCTCCTTGACTCCATCTTGGGGTTGGGGTTGGCAGTGGAGGTCCCCAGACTCAGGTTCTGGGGTACTCAATCTGCCTTCTCTCAGAGTGGGGTCTGAGGTGGCTCAGGAGTTCATGGCCATGGGCCTGTCCCAGGTCATCCAGAGCCCGGCATGGGATAGTAGTCAGACTCCGGATTTGGTGTTCCTGTCAGAGGAACTATGTGATCTGAAATTGGGGGAGCTTTTGGTGTCTCTCTTGTCATGGTCAGATCATGCCCTGATTTCCACAGGATTCTCTGGTGCCACTATACACGGCAGGGAGGCTGGACCCATTAGACTGGTCCACCCCCAGCGACTGATGGGCCTGGAGGGGCTCCAGAGGGAGCTGGGGTTCCTTCTGCTGGTGTGCTTCACAGTCCATCTGAAGTCTTGGCTGCCACTTGGAATAAAGGGGCAGTTGAGGCCTTGGGTTGGATCACACCCATGCGACCTCTCCCCTCCAGTGGATTCCGTCACTCCCCGTGGTTTACAGAGCAACTGAGGAAGATGAAATGAGAGATGTTGGTGCTCAACCAAGGACGAGCTTGACTGGACACCTACTACTATGTGGGGTGCTGCAGGGTTCAGTGCTCTCCCCTCTCCTATTTAATATCTACAGGAGACCGCTGGGTGAGCTCATCCTTCGCCATGGAGTGATGTATCATCACTATGCTGATGATACCCAACTATACATCTCTGCCCCTGGCGAAGTAAGTGATGCTGTGGACACCTTATCTGGGTGTCTGGAGGCTGTGTGGGTCTGGATGGGGAACAACAGGCTTCCTGCACCCTAGCAAGACTAAGTGGCTTTGAGTTCAGGATCCTGCCGGTTCTGAGACAATTCCATCTTTGGTGCTGGATGGAGTGGCACTGTCCCAGACCGACCCAGTGCGCAATTTGGGGTCCTCCTAGACTCATGACTCCTGTTCAAAGAGCAGGTGGCAGTTGTGGCCAGAAGGGCCTTCACACAACTCCATGTTGTGTGCCAACAGCACCCTTTCCTGGGTCGGGAGGCTCCGCTCAGTCACTCATGCCCTAGTCACCTCCAGACTGGACTACTGTAACGTGCTCTACATGGGGCTGCCCTTGAAGAGTATCCGGAAGCTTCAACTGGTGCAGAAGGTAGCAGCGCGGGCAGTTATGTGTGCTCCTAGAAGAGCACATATTACACCTCTGCTTTGCGAGTTGCACTGGCTGCTGGTTTGCTTCTGGGTCTAATTCAAGGTGCTGGTTTTGACCTTTAAAGCCCTTCATGGCATGGGGCTGGGTTATCTGAGGGATCGTCCCTCCCCGATTACATTAGCTGATCACATTAGATCTGGCAGGGAAGGTATGCTACATGTTCCATCGGCCAGGGACTTGCACCTGGTGGGTCCCAGGAGGTGGGCCTTCTCTCCCGTGGCTCCCTTCTTGTGGAACATTCTCCCCCTGAAGTGAGGCTCGTCCCTTCCCTGCTGTCATTTAGGAAGTCCCTCAAGACCTGGTTGTGTCATCAGGCCTGGGGG